ATCAGCGAAACACAGATGTAGTTTTATCCATCTTCTTGATAACATCATTTTATCTCATCCTACTGCACAACTGTTAATCAAAGTGTATGCTCACTTGCATATCAAAACTGCTGAGATTTGTGAAATATTGGAAAAAAGTCTTGCAAGGAGTGCTAATTTTTTTGAAACACTTATTTCACTGTTTATATCTGTAGGGAAGATACGTATCTGTAGACATGTTTATGAGTTATGTGTGTATATGTATGCATGTATATGTAGTGTATGCATGCATATGCATGTGTGCATGTGTGCACGTGTATGTGTGTATTTATGTATGCATGCGCATGTAAAGCTTGCTAAGCGGTAATCAGCCTTTTCTAGCTTTTTTGCCGTTTCTAAAATCATTCGAGTTTCTGTTTGCTTCTTTCAAAAGTACATATCACTTCAGTTTTTACTAATTTCAGCTTACTTCCTTGTTACACAAATCACAATTAAGCTGTTTCTATTTAAAAAGTGCTGTGCTAGATTGTGCGCTCAGCTAATTAGTCAAACCCACATCCTATATTGTTACTTGTGTTTGTAAGATTTGCTATTAAATGTGTGTTGGAAACTTTTCGAACTCCAGCACAGATTGTTGCAAGTTGGGAAGCGCAGTTAGAACTCTTTCCACAAGGAAAGTGCCTACTTAACTTTAAATGGCTGTCTACCGGAAGGAGAGAGGAGCAGTGTACTATCAAATCTAAAAAACTTTTGTCCCAAGCATCACCTTTTAAGTTCAGCCCGCCTTAGTAGTTCTGATCATATTTGTTAAACTATCTTTTCAGACAATGCACTATCGCTCCCCATGTAGAGCAATATTTTCAAAACTGGTGGAAAAATAATTTTTAGTAGGTCCAATGAGCACACTAGCTTTACTTTCTGAAATTAAAAGTCTGACTCAGCAAGTGTCCATTTCAGGTCAAGAAAGTTCTCATTTCAGTATCCATTTGAACATGTCAGTGTCCATTTCCACTTCAAAAAATTTTCCTTTAAGTAAATAAGTTTTCGCCGGCATGTTTTTTTTCCTTAGAAGTTTTACAAAATCAAGGAAGCTTCTAAAATTACTAATTGAGGTAATTTTAGAATTTCCATGCAAAGGCATTTATCCCATACAATTCAGAACCGTGTTTTTTTTTCTTTTCAAACGATAACGGTGTATATTGGTGCTAATTACGTTAAATTCTTCCTTCACAGGTAGTGCTTCTGTCACAGCAAGAAATTTTCTCCCATTAAAATTTACTGAAATCAGAGGCATTTCAGCAATATTGACTTTCTGGACAAAGTTCCTTACTACCTATTCCTTGCTTTATCAAGCAACCTGCTGTTGATGCTTCAAAACTTCTCTTGTTCCGTCAAAATATTTAACAGTTTTAAAATTTTCAGGTATTTAAATGAATGTGCGAATTACGCTTCTGTCGTTAATACACGTCCTGTACACCGCTTTTGCAAATATTGTAACTGAAGTTGCAGACACCACCAACAAAGCATCACTTGTTGAAGCGTGTGAGTCCGCCATTATTTGCATCCAGTAATTTCAGAGCGTACAATCTACCGATTATGAATCGTTGCTTTTTTTGAATTTCAATTTAGAAGACTGAAGATTTAAATTTTGTTTAAATCGCTCAGTCGTAAATTGAGGTATCAGAGAGTGCTAAGAAAGTTTTAACAATCAGTGTTAGTGCCTCATGTATTAATGATTTTGCTGAAATACTCCTTCTCACAAGACGCAGCCACGTCATGCCTCTTGGTTCCGTAGATGTAAAATGAAATAGTTTGCTGGATTTTAAAATTTAGCGAGGCCTTGAATTTTAAACTTAAAAAAACAATTACTTATCATACGTTCGCGTTTGCAGCAGTGGCAGCCGATGCTCGTCCCTTACGCCGAACCACTCATGGCGAGATACAGGGCTATTTCATGGAATCAAGTGGAACCCTGGCTGAAGTTTATGAAGCTGTCCCATATGCTCAGCCACCAATCGCCTCCTTACGTTTCCAAGTATCTAATGCTTGCACTAAAGAGAAGCCAGTTTAGACTGCTGCTTCAGCTTCCAGAGCTCTGAACTATTGCCTAACATTTTGAAGAAGTTTTCAAACATATCTCAATAGGAATGATAAGTGCGGCCAGCACTAACACTTCTGTTTTGGTGCACTGGCAAGGAAAGGGGCATATTTTTACGAAACTGGCGTATCATTTGATAGATTGGAAGGCCTGACGCAGCAATCAGCTAAATCAATCTTTGTCTCCGATGAACAGCCTCACGTCACTTCACTGACATTTGCGCTCGTCTTTCCTAAATTGATTTTATTGTCTAACGGACATAAAATATTCAGTAAAAGTCAACAAAGGCAATGCTGACCGATTTTCAAAGTTATGCAAGGGTTAAAAGAGGGACTATTAGAGTGAGGAACTGACAGATGCCCAAATGCTGGTGGGGATCGCGCTAGGATAGCCAAGGTAGCACGTGCAAAATTTTTTCTTAGAAAAGAATCATGTGCTCAGGTAGATTAATTTCCCTTGACCAGTTAGACAGAGCAGTAATGATATAATAAAAGTCTCAAGTATAATTTAAGATTACCGAGATCCCTCGGAAATGTATGGTACTGTTGTAAAACATCATTCACAAACGACCAACTAGATCTTTCAATTTTGCACTGTATGACTATTTTGCCCTCGCACTGAGCAGGGCGCATACCTCTTCTGAGGTTATCTGAATGATTTATTGGAAAATATTTTAATGTTGGAGAAAGAAAAAGCAAATAATATTAAGAAATTATCCCTTCCAGAGGACTTCGTTGTACACCATTTATCAGCAAAAACGAGAATACGCTCTGCCCATAGAATTTTTGTCGCATGATCGCAGTGTTATCCTGCAAACTGCTTATCTGACAAAGAGTCTGATTATTTATATGATTGTGAAGAGACACTCCAAGCATCTTTCGCCCCATCGTTCGCTCCGTCACAGCCAGTACTCAATTTCTTTTGCTCAAAGAGCAATGCTGTTAATTTTAAAGGACCCTTTTTTTTAACTGGTTGTCTAAAAAAAGAAAAGTCCATTGTTCTTTTTGCAGCTGTGGTCAAAACGTTACCACACTTCGCGAAATTTTGAAGCGGTACGGTGGCTTATCCAAACTTTCAATCAGTAATAAATAAATTTCTAAATTGGTAGAATCACAACTGAAACTTTGGAATCACTTACACATCTACGCCCATACTAGACGAATTAACTAATTTAGCCGCCGAAGCCACTTGGCGAATGGAATGAAACGCTAGACTGTGGCAAGGATCGAATGGTTCGATGCGTACAGTTTGGAGAAAAACACAGCAAAACTGAAACCGAAGATTGCTTGTACCTCAACATCATAATACCTCGCAAACAAGTGGTATGCTGCTCAGCCCTTATCTATAACTTTGGCCAACAACTAAGCTTCAGTTTCGGATTTGTATTAAGTTATACTCAGAAACTATGTTTACCTCACTGCTTTCCAAAAACAATTTTCCAAATTGCTCCAAGAAACAACTAGCCTCAGCCTAATTTAGCGCACTTATCCCCATCGTCTTCTCAGAGAGGTTTCTTTTTGCAGTGGGGAACAATCTTGTTTTGCGAAAGCTTCTGAAATAAACATTGTTTTCAACGCGAACATATTATGAATGTCCCGCTCACTTTATCAAAATTCGCCTGACCATCTCGCCAACGCGACAATAAGTTTACGGTCCAAGGCGTATGTCTTCGATAGGTGAACTTAGAAGAATTCAGCTCTGAACTTTTCTCTTTCTAGCGCTACAGATTTAATAATGCTGGGGCAAAGTTTAGGACGAGGGGGCAGAAAAATATAATATCACTATTTCAGGTCTGAAATAAACTTGCCACATTTTAAGTTAGCTTCGATCACTTTAACTAAGCTCTCGAGCTGAGTAATGACGAATTATGCAATAAATACGACAGTATCAACGAGAAGAAATGAGAGAAAGTTACGGATTAAAGAGGGCGGAGGTGGTAGTCTAAAAGTTAAAAGTGAAAAGGAAAAAAGAAAAAAAATTAAGATTTGATGAACGCAGCATGTCATCCACCTTTTTGTGCAACTGAATGATCCGAAAACGATTGCATGGTCAGTGATTTCTACTACTGAAGAAAAATCTTGGCTGTTACCTTGCATCCAAATTCATATCTGCGAAATTTAAAATGTGCTTCTAAGCAAGCGATGAGAATAACTGTTGGTAACTAATCCAAACAAGATGCCCTGGTATAAATCTTGTCCTATTTTGAACTTTTTTGAGGGAAATGATGTACGATATCCGATTCTGG